GTCCAGAGTAAAATCGCCTCCCAAGAGGGTCTCAGGGAGATATCCCAGCACAAGGTTGGCGTCCGTGACGGTGGCTTCGGTCCCTCCCTTGCGGTAGCATGCGGGTCCTGGGCTGGCCCCTGCGCTCTCCGGACCGACTCTCATGGTTTCAGTGATGCTCATGTATTTTGCAATGGAACCGCCTCCTGCTCCCACCGTCCGAATATCCACAGCGGGCGACCGGACGGTGAGTTGGCCGACCACCGTCTCGCGACGAAGCTGCGGCTTCCCTTGGTTGATCAGGGCGCAATCCGTCGACGTTCCGCCCATGTCAAAGGTGATCAGGTTCTTGTATGGCGTGTTGCGCGTGACGACGTCTGCCACCCCTTGGACTCCCCCAGCAGGACCGGACATCAGAATATTGACGGGCGTCTGTCCCGCCAGCTCCAAGCTCGTCAGACCGCCGTCCGACTTGAGGATGCGGATCGTATCGCCATCCTCCGCCAGTAAATCTTGCAGATTACTGAGATAACTCTGAACAACCGGTTTGACCAGCGCATTGGTGCAGGTGGTGACTGTTCGCTCGTACTCGCCTACCTCTCTGAGAACGTCGCTCGAGCAGATTACCGTGAGATCAGACCCGAGCTCCTCGCGCACGACCTTAGCCACCAAAGCCTCATGGTCGCTATTGCAGTGCGAATTCAGCAACGAGATCGCCACAGCCTCGGGCCCTTCCTTCATCCATGCCTTCAGATCCTCCCGCAGCGCATCCGTATCCACCGCGACGACTGTCTTTCCATCCACCGACATTCGCTCCCGACACTGTATCACCCGCTCGAGAGGCACGATCGGCTCCGGAGGAGTATAGTGCAGCCAGGCCCCCAGACCACCAGGGATCTGGGACCGGCGCACCGCCAAAATGTCCTTGTGACCTGCCGTGACGATCAGACCGGTACGCGCGCCTTTGCCTTCGAGAACAGCGTTGGTGGCCGTGGTGGTGCCATGGTGGATGAACTGGAACTTGCCGTCCCAGGAGTAGCGTTCTTTGAGAATTTGATGAACCTTCTGGATTCCATTCTTGACTCCGATGCTTTGGTCTTCGACAGTGGTTGGAACCTTGGCTCTTGCAATCTGGCCGTCGGGCGTGAAAGCGTAGACGTCGGTGAAGGTGCCGCCGACGTCTACTCCAAGTCGGCAATCGTCTTGGTGGGCGCTATGTGGCATGATCATTGAGAGGACTTGTATAAAAAGAAAGCAACTGCGACCACTTTATAAGGGGTTTTGTTCATACAGAACGGAGCAATATGTTTCAATCGCAAGTCGACCACAGGAGATCAGATTGAAGACCGCTCTTCCACAGAACATGTTACGGTCAAGAAAACAAGCACTACTTTAACTTAAATGGAGCCTGAAATATATCCCAGGTGTGTCGGGATCGTCCAACCAGGCAGCTAATGAACATACTAAGGGTTTAGTCGGTGCAACATCCGAGACAGTGCTTGTGCCGTTGGATTTTACTGGCCAGTGCCCCTCATATCTCGTTAGCTACATATTCCCAGAGCACATCCTGGCCTAACTCCAAATCCTGAGCCGAGGGGATTACCCAGTTCATCATCCTGCATATGCTTTCCTGTGGGTCGAGAGTTAATCCACACTATGGCCAGTGCCAATTACTGGCTCTTTTGCTAATGAATGATGACATTCATTTACCGCTAAGTGGGTCATACTGGACAAGCCATCCGAAATCTTGAGGATGGGGCATTGGATAGACTGCGGATAATGTTTTTATACACAGCTTCTCGATTGTCTTCCGTAGCTTCCAAATGAAAGAAGAAAAGCCGGAGGAAACCAAAACGTTCTCTCATATCGCCATGTCTAGCGAGAAACAGGCAGAGGCCGGCCAATGGGGCATACGACCACCAACAAGCCAGTCCTCGTGCGTTGGTATTAGACGAAGAAGGGGAGATTCTCAAGAAGCGAGATTCTGGAGTCAACTTCCGCCACGTGGGTTGGCTCAATGCGACCGTGATGTTCACCAAAATCATCCTTGCAACAGGCGTGCTCTCGCTGCCGTCGGCGCTGTATGCGCTGGGAGCCGTCGGGGGGTCGATCAGCATTGTGGCCTGGGGATGCTTCAACACGTACTGTTTTGTCATCCCGGGCAACTTTCGCATGCGACGCCCTCGCTGCCATTCGATTGCCGACATGGCCTACGTTGCTGGTGGCACTGCTGCCGAGGAGTCGACAGGTCTGTTGTTCATTATTGCCTATGTCCTGGTGACGGGCAGTGACATTATCGGAGTGTCCACGGCGCTAAATGCTCTCTCGCACAACGCAGCGTGCACCGTCTGGTGGTCATTCCTAGCCGCGGTGGTGATCATCGCAACCGCATCCGTACGCAAACTGGAGCACGTCGGTTGGCTGACCTAGGTGGGATTCCCGTCCATCTACATCGCTGTCCTCATTGTTCTGATCGGGGTGACCACACGAGACAGACCGGTAGCTGCACCGCAAGAGCGGCTGTACGACCTAGGATTTGTCGCCATCAATAACCCGGGTTTTGCAGCCGGCATGGTCGCTTCCTGTACCATCTTTGTCTCCTTGGCCGGTACCAGTGCGTTCCTCCCGGTCATCTCAGAGATGAGGAACCCGAAAGACTACAAGAAGCCACTGTATCTGTATGGCCCTGGTGACCGCAAGGGCGGTTTGTCCTTCCCATCATAAACAAATAGTGGATGGATAGGCAGCGCTAGGAACTTCAATAGTCTGTAGAACAGAGTCCGCAGCTCTGGATTTCGTGCAACTACCCAGGAATCCCCATGAGACAGACTGACATTGCCTTTAGCCTGGTCGTCTATCGCTGGTGTGGGAAGTGGGTAACGAGTCCTTCGCTCGGGGTACGTATCACTTTCTTTTACCTGAGCAGTCGATAACAGACACCATGTAGAGCGCTGGGCAAACGATCAAGATGGTGTCTTGCGGTGTTGCCTTGATGGGACTGATCTTGAGCGGCACCATTTATCTGCAAGTAAGTGTTCCCAAGATGCCTTCCCGCGCAAGGCCGTCGTAGCTCAACTGGACTCAGGTCGCGGCCAAGTACGTCTTCGTCCGGATAATGGAGAATTCGCGCCATTTGTAGGCCAACACCGTCGCGCATTGGGGCCGCCTGGTTCGCCAGTACGATCATCCTCGGTGCGCTGGCATTCATTCTAGCGGAGGCGATCCCAATCTTTAATTATCTGTTGCGCTCGTGGGATTGGTGTGCTTCGCCCCTCTAGCCATGAGCCTTCCCGAGTGGTTATGGTTGTACGATCATGGCCACTATAGAAATGGGGTGGTTGTCCAGAGGGTCGTATACCTGCTGCATTGCAGTCTGGTGATACTGGGGCTCCTCTTCCTAGTTGGAGCGACGTACAGCGTTATCGTCCAAATCAATTTGAGAGTACCTTGAAATAAAGAGAATAGAGTTCTATTTCCGTACCTTCTGTTGTTATATAATTATCTAGCTACTCTGGCATGGTCTGGTTGCGAGCACCCTAAGTAGTGACCTGATCCCTATGGATATAGACCAGCGTAATTAGTGCTTACTGATCCTCCGCGAGCTCTTCCACCATTATCACTGTAATATGAATTGGTAGGTGTCAGCCTATATAGCTATATTCAGGCATCCTTATAGCACAGAATTACCCTCTGAGTTTAGTATAATAATTCCACCCTTCTTATAAGGAGATATTAAACTTAGCATTTCCTATGATAATACTCCACCTAATATACACCTAGATGAAGTTTATAATGAAGTACTCCTGAGTTAAGCTTACCTCTACTAGTTAGCTCTAAAATTAGGCTAGGCATCCTTATATGCAGTGGCCCTCTAGTATTTAACTATTATATTAGTATGCTTTACTTATTCTAAAGAGTGTATCTATAGTACTATAGAGCTGCTATATTTTATATTTAATAGAGATACTAAAAATATAGACAGCTTACATTACTTACTTTAAGTATATATATCATGGAATTTGTCTACTGTATAGCCAGACTATAGCTTCCATTGATTTCTGGAAGGATGGACAGGTTAACTGTCCTAATATAAGATTTGATTACAGGCTAAATATGGATTAGTGAAAAGTATGGTAATTATCCCTATCGGGCATTTAGTAGTCTTGCTCTCAAAAGATATTATAGTGGTTAGACTCCTCTTTGTTCTTTTGTATATGATTGTCGGGAGTCCATGAAGCTGTGTAATCTATGTACAGTAATGGCCGAAGAACACATGGATTTGGGCAGTAATATACTGAGATAGAAGGAGACTATTCAGTGACGGCAGACTTAATTCCTTGTCAGCGGGAAGTGGTCGTCTCAGCCAGAAAGCTCTTTTCACTATAGCAGTGTAATTTAGCATCCCTTCACCCCTTCAATCGCAGTACTGAGTAAGGTCCGGTTGGCAATCACAGGTAATTGAAACTACAAAATTAAGAAATTTCCCCGGTTGACTGGACCACAGGACCTTTTCCACGCGCCCGTCACTTATTATTGACAAGGGTTATTGGAGCACATCTGACCCGCAATACGTGGCGACTCGCCAACCACTCGCCGATTCTCTCATTGACCAGTCGCCTTATGGGACGGTACTAAAGTATCAGCTTATATAAATCGAGGTCCCAGCAGGTTATTGAGATGGTTCGAATCCCTTCCTTATGTGGCCCGGACCAGGTTTGCAACCTGCAGAGTATTACCTATGACATTCTTAGCTTCCCTCAAACTCCCCAGGCTTCGCCTCGTACGATACGATGCGGACAGCCATCGCCGTGAACCGGACGAAACTGACTCCCTAGAAGTCGCAATTATCAGAGCTGGTTCTGAGAGGCTTTTCTCGACAACAAAAAGATTCTCCAGGCGCGAGCGCGAGTCCTTCCCGCAGTTCTTTGAGGGCTGTTTACGTCCTGCTGATGTTGGAAGCACTGAATATAGGCCTCGTCCATTACCGATTCTCGTGTACGGATTCTTTCACGAGTTGTTATATGATTGCCTTGTCGGGGTTGCTGACGTTCTCATTACACAGCATTGTGCAGGGGTGGGTTGCAGATTTCCGCGAAGAGTTTCTGAAATCGTTCCCCAATTTTCCAGGAGCATCCCTGGATCTTCTCGAGGCTACCAATCGTGAGGCACAGAGCACGCTGCCTACGCTCGATGAGATGAAGAGTATGTTACCTCATTAACCCTTCCGCAGTGTGTGAATAATAGCCCCCAACTGATCGGATGTCAGATTTTAACTTTAGTGCCGAGCACGTCAGTGTTTACGACGGAGGGGCATTTGTAGACGAAGTGAAGCAACTATTCTTGGGGGATAGAGCGTGTCTCCGTATCCCTATAGGTCAGAGGTGCTTGCAACATACTCGTCTTTGTTTTCATGCTAACATGGCTGATTCAGCCGCACAAAGCCTGAGCGTCAACGGGCAGACAGTGACAATAATCGTTGGGAATCCATTGATTCCAGACCTCATCAATGTTCTTGAGCGACATTATACAGAAAATTCATGGGCGCGTTGGCAGCGGCTTGAGAGGAATATACTCTGGATTGTCCCCGACTTATTATACCTCTTCACCAACTGGAATGCCGTCATCGTCGCCATGAAAGCACATCTTTATAGCGCGGAGTCCAGCGGAATGGAAGGCATATTACCCGTTACGATACAGACTCGCTTTTTACACCAACAAATGCAGACGGCCATCGAGATTCGCGAAGTTCTAAGGATTCACCAGGCGATAGCTAATCATGTAATCAAACTTAACTCGATCGGACCAGCCGACAAAGATCTTGATGATCGGCTCGAGTTAATAAAGGGTCAGATGGATCACAATGCTTCGACGATTGATACTGTGAAAGAGCAGCTACAAAACCTCATCCAGCTCGTAAGAGGCCCCCTTGTTTCCTGCAATCAGAATTCTAATAAGTATTAGGCTTTCAATCTAGAAGCTGTCTCGCAAGGGCAGTCTGTAGCTCGCCTCAGCGCTCTGGCTTTCATTTTCATCCCACTCTCGTATGTTGCAGTAAGTGCACATTGTACTAGAGTCTCTGATGAGCTTGCACTTACAGCTTTCGTAGAGTGTCTTTGCTATACCTGGCCTTGCGATTGACGCACTCTGGTATCCGGCATCGGCAGTCCCTCTGCTCGTGTTCACCATCATCGTCGCTGCAATTATTGGAAAATTTGTCAACTTCTGGGAGCGCCGAATGGGAGCGATATATGAGCTAGCTCCGAACCAACCTATCACGCTTGGAAAGATGTTCTCAGTTTTTCATAGAGACGTGGCGGATAAGGACATTGAAAAGGGGGGCAGTGAGACAACGTCCTTGTCTTCCTACGTGACCTACAGCTCAAGCAGCTCGGGAAGCTCCTCATCCAGTCGGCCGGCGCCTCACTTACCCGATCGAGCATCATCTCCACCTTTGCCTTACCGAGTGGCTTCTCCGGCGTCCCCTCCATATCCGCCGGAACAATCTCTACCTGGTCGCACATCAGGTCCGCCTACGCTCATATCGGCGGTACCATCACCGCCTAGGAGGTCGGTTAGGTTTGAAGTGGAGGCCTACGAGACGGCCTCCCTTGCAAGTGCCGAAAGTCATGAAGGCACTGAAGGCAGAGGAAGTGACAAGGCGTCCGAAGATGGCAGAATCTGGGAACAGGACGCTGAACGAAAACGTGAGCGCGATGAGATACTGGAGACCGTTGAGATAGTTAGAGCTGTACTCGCATCGAGAGACACAACTTACTCAGGTCCGAAAAGGATGCAGCCTGGCGCTCGACGATTTACGGTAGGAACGTCCTCGGCCGGGAAGGTAGAAGAGGATGAAGCCATACATAGCCCTGGACAAGCTACTAGCCTTCTTAACGAGCCGCTGGAAGAGAGCGATATACTTCCTTCCGACGAAGTTCCCGACCTCGACACCACTGCATCCTCTAAGCCTTTCATAGTCCGCTCGGATGCTGGTGTTGCCAGGGCTTCCAGGACTACGGCTAGTAGGGCTGATGGGACCAGAACTTCAAGGACATTACAAGTCAGGAGGAACAAAAGATGGAGAGTGGAACGCAAAGCAGAGTGAATCACAAGTAGCAACCTTGCGCAGCTATAGATGTTACCTGTTTTTTTTTTTTTTTTTTTTTTTTTTTTTGTCGTCATTTGAAATGCATCTAACAAGCTAAAGAACTTATGTCAAATCTGGGGCCTCCCTCATGCAGTCAAGCCCAGAAGTGTCAAGTCACTTCCTAAATCGTACCCCCTCAGTTGTGGACAGAAAATATACCTAAAGTTTGGCTCTCCATCAGTGACGCCCTGTAACTCAAGATAGCCTCAGAAGACGTCTCCCGTATCAGTTCTTACGCGACTCAGGCAGAGAATCAGCTTCCGCAACAGAGGCCAAGAATGTTACCAGTCAACCACTATCAAGCGCAGTCAGTGCACTGGCACAGATGCTATTATTAGTATTATTGGCGCTGCAGGCTGCTGATAGCACCGCGCCTAGCCTTGTTAGACATGATAAACGCGGCCATTGGTCCCTGGTATAAACTAGCACGATCCGGCGGTAGACTTCCGGGGATCTTGCGCCATTTAAGCTGGCCATAGGAGGATTTGTATGGAAGGAGCCCTGGAGACCTTGAGGGGTTTACTATTCGCAGACAAGTTTAGCTCGCCAAGGAACTTACCAGGTGACCTCACGCCACAGTTCTAGCTCTGACCATTCTGCAGTATCAGCGCTGTATCCTTACTGAACTTGCTGAGGGATTAACGAGAAGGTAATATGATGGTCCAGCTTGGCAAGATATTGGGTGGAAGAGGCCTGCTGATCAAACATTAACAATACTTGCTCAAAGACAAGGGTGGGGTCACGTGAGCTGTACATGGCTAGTTATGCTTAGCAGGCATCCTGTGAATGACTGCAGTGGTTGTAAACACTCTGTCAGATATAGGAGTCATATGTCTGTTGAAGACAAAAAATTCATAAGTGTTCGACCTTGTTTACCCACCATATCCATCAATATACGCTCTTAAATGCCATTAATGATCAATGATCACCCACCCATCACTTTGTCTTCAGGGCCCTACGAGACGAGCAAGTCCAGTAGTTCGGCTACTAGCCTACTAATCTGGAATCCTCATCGGGACGCTCATTTTCTGTTTTGCTCGGGTCTTTCCCGATCAGAGACCAACCTACTCAGAGCTCTAGCTCTATATAGCATGATGGGAGTCACAGGAGGCTAACAGCTAACTATACTTACCTACTCTATAAGCTAAAGTTAGCATAGTGAGCTACCTAATTTATAATTACCACACAGCTCCTGGGCTAATTCTAGAGCCTATTAGATATATTCTAGGTTAGCACTATAGGTAGTAACCCCTAACCTGTATACTACTGCTGCTTGCTTACAGGGCTTATTTAATAAGAGAGAACACTAGGCTAAGCACCTCTTAGGGTGATCAGATCATCCAGACAGAGATAGAAGCTATGGGTGTTATACTAGGTATATCTACAGGGCATAGGGACAATCAGACCTACCATGGATGTAGTGTATATAAGATAGTAGGCTTAGTAGCAGCTTACCCAGCTACTAGCAGGGACCTGCCGCCACTCAACCAATAGGGCTGACAGATGCGTGAATGAAAATAATAATAATAATCATAATAAATCTACCATGACCCGTGGGGTTAATGTTATATCATCACATGTTACTCAAGCATGTCGAAATAGACTTAGGTAGGCCCTATCATCCCTTGCGATGATGTTAGCCACTAGTCAGGTGGCCCTCATAGCACTATCTTTAGGCTTAGGATAGAATCTTGTAACATGCCCTGTCCTCCCATAGTTATGATATTTTATGTCTGGGTTGATTTTCTTAAAGTCCATACTTTCAACTTTCTTATAGTTCACAGCGGTCATAGTCTCAGCTGGATCTAAATACTTTATCAATTGAGCATTTCAAACTCCCAAAGTCATCTGATCAAAAGCACACTAACTCTGGCCTGTGGACGACTATCGCAACTAGCGTGGAGCCCCGATAGGCTCAAAGAGATCAACCATCCAGCGGAGTTCGACAGCTGAGGTGATTGTGGCCCACAGATGTTATCACTAGTCATTACTTAGTTACCTCCTTGTTGTTGCCCAAGTTTGAGTGAAATGCCTGACTCAAATTGCTCAAGGCCTGCAGAATCCAGTCATCCCTTTTTCCTACCATTGCACGTGGGAACTAAGACCTCAATCGGCTATCATAACTGAAAGGAAAGACGCCGCGGAGAAAGCAATAATTGAGAGTGGGCTCACTAATGCAGGTAATTCATGTAATATGGCCACGTGTCCTATCATATACAAAGGGACCCAGCTAAGAAAACAAAGACTAGCTTTCATAAAGTTAGACTTAGAGTAACCCATACATTAGCCTGTTAGACTCAGATTTCGTGGCGAACACCTTCTTGTTCCACAGAAGCTGCAATTAGACTGGCTTACCCAATCCACAGATCCACACCCAACCCACCCAATCCACGCTATGGGTTGGATAAGGGTTGGCCCTGATCCAACCCACATGGGTATGGGTGGTTGATACCCAACCCAGATGGGTGTAGATAAACCATTTAGGTACATGTGACGAGCAGAATTTAGTGGGTATATAGGTTTTATAGTTTATCTATAATATTCTCTTAATAGGAGATTGTTCCACCTACTAAAAGTAGTATAGTTTGAAATTATATGCTAATTATAGGTAAAAGAGGTTATCTATAATCTAACCCATATAGATTAGGAGGTGGATAACTAATATCATAGGTTTCCCTAAACCCATACGGGTTGGGTTGAACCCCATGTGGATTAACCCATATCCACCCCACAGCCAGTCTAGCTGCAATTGCCAAGGGACACCGCGGAATGTTGGGAGTGATGCACAGCTGATTGAGGACTGATCATGTAGAGTGATTTCGAGGTCCTTGACAAGCAGTAGCAGCTTGAAACTGCTTGAACCAGCTTATCATCCTATCAAACAGAGAGTGTTTCCTTTAGGATCTTGATAAGTAGGTGAAATTCGGAAAAGTCGAGATCTGGAGAGTACTACGGTGAATGAAAGCCTACTGTACGTAGTATGTATTTACAGAGGAGCTTATTCATGCAGAGCTGCCCAATTAGTTATTGATGGGTCTCTTGTGGCAGTTCTGCGAGAAATACGAAGTCTGCCTTTTGCTTCTTGTCAGCTGCGCCCCTCTCCCGCCGCCAGCCCCGGAGGAAAAAAAGGGCACCGGACTCCACCGTTGATGGTTTCTCGGGCAGAGGTAAATAGGGGTGACATAAGACTACTGTCGCTCATCCTTCGTGTACTCCTCTCGCTGTTCTCGTCTGCAGTTACTTCCGTCATCCTCCAAAAGCTTTGAGCGTCAACATGTATTTCAGCATCAACAAATCAAAGAACATCTATATCCAGACTACAGAGAAAACCGATGACCCCCACAGTGGTGCTGGTGCAACCTACCTCCATGCCACCTGCCAAGCAAATGATGGCAGTTGGGTGGAAAACTCGACCAGACTGGATGACAAAATCTGGTATGACCCCGACCACAAGAGGTGGACTCTAGGAAATCCGGACTGGGAAGGCTGGTGGACGACCCTTCCGGATGGGCAGCCGCCCCCGTTGCTCATCGATCAGGTGAAACCTGGTACACTACAGCTCAAAGGTGGCAACCTCTTGACAGCCACGCTCACTCAGGATTATGGTGGTAAGGATATGGCGATTTGTCTCGATTTCTTCTTCAGCAACAACGATGGAAAGCTGGAATATGATGGCCTGTACGACTAAACCCTTTTTCCCTCGTCTCTTATCTATACATACATACATACATATATGTGTTGTGTTGTGTTGCTAACCTGAGTAGTCCCAAAGACATTCGTAATAGAATGGTCAGATACAAGTGTCGCGATGAAGCTCTGCTCCGCGGTTTTGTTATTGGAATAGATGGCAAGCTCCATTACCAAGAGATCGACTTGGGTGACCATTACGAGAACGACAATGGAAGAATCAAGCAGAAGAGAAACGGCAACTTCTTCATGACCTCTGACGGGTGGCTCGTCAATTCCGAATTTGAACTGCAGGCGCACCTTGAATACAAAAACCTTGGTGGAGGTTGGATCACGGCTAAGTACCCTCTCTATAAGGATATCAAGGTCGCCGATGACGGAAGCTTATCGATTGATGACCCGTAAGTACCGCGTATCCTGCACGTTTGAAGAACATCCCATCTAACACAACCTTTTACAGCGACGATTACCCGTTTTTCTCCCTGCATGGTGCCTTTTTCAGATTCCTAGAGGACATTCCAGTGCTTGGGTACTTTATTGCTGGAATTGATCACCTAGCAGGTGAATATGTAGGTAATATGTCTTTGTTAAATCACTTCATGTTGTTACTAAACATATGTCTAGGATGAGGCCGAACGCGCCATTGCTGAATGCACTTATTCGACTATAGTACTAGCGAGCACCATTGCCTGCGGAACCCTGGGTGGACCCGCGGGAGCTGCTCTCGGGACAGCAGTTGCTACATTGGCTGCCCCATATGTTAGATCTGCTCTCTCTCATAATATAGCTGATCCAAAAATGCGAAGCGAATTGACAGCGGTCAGTATATATCAAGTTCTCTCGAATGAAATCTTGGTCGTTACAGGTCAGTGATCCGAAAGAGGAGGAGATTCGTTGAGGTTCATTCAAGCGCACTCTTTTACAGAGCTCTTATGGCTGACACCTTTTTGTTTCACGGCGCAGGGTCAACCATTGGGATGATCGGCTCGGCATTTGGGGAACTTCTGGCAGAGGAGCTTGCGGCCGAAGGCTTTGACAAACTTTTTAGTACCATTGGAGGCTGGTTGGGAAAAAAGGGATTCAAAAAGCTCACCACCAAGGAGATGCAAAAGTCTGATATCCTTCTCAACCTCCTTTCCACCTCTTCTTCTCTGGCAGATTTTGGACCTATTCATACTGAGACTAACTTTTGAGGCAGAATCGTCGACACCATCATTGACGCCATGGGAAAGGGAGAATCGGAAGACACCGTGCAGGCAAAGATTCGCGCATTTGACCAAGAGCTGAGGGAAAAATATGCGTACGCGCTAAGCTCGGTAGTGAGGGACGCCTGCGCCGCGGTCGAGGGCTCGGTGCAAACAGCCATTGAGGACGTCGAACAAGAAATCAAGAGTCAAATTCAATTACCGGACTTTCTGGAGGATGTGGCACAGAAGCTCAGACAAGCGGTGGAGGAGACACTTGCAGACGCCCTGCAGCAACTAGCGTCCAAGGCAAAGATGGAAGGAATCGAGGATTATGAGCGTTCACGTGATCCACGAACCGTACAGGGCTCGTATACATTCGAGGTGTGGGACGCAAGGGAAAAGGTTGTGGCCAAGGTTCCCGAAGCGGTCCACGAGGCTATTCCAGACGTCGCGCAGCAAGTCGCAGCGGAGGTGGCAGTGGAAAAGACGGTAGAGAAAGCAGTGGAGAATACTGTGGGCCGCGTCAGAGACCTTGCAAGATCGGCAATCAGTGATGCGATTTCTGAACTGCGATCGGTCCGACTGAGCGCTGACGATCTGGAGTACGCAGATTTGAACTTCGACATACACAAGGATGTGGAAGATGCAGTGCAAAAGTCTGTGGATCAGGCGCAGAATCGGGTGGTGGAGGCAGCGAAAGCAGCCGCTGAGGCTGTGCAGGCCAAGGCCCAGAAGTTGTTGCAAGAGGCACTACCAGAAGCAGAAAAGAACGCAGTGCAGAAGATAGAGCAGGACATCCAAAAACGTATGGACGACGCAAGAGAAGACGGTTTTATGTATGGCTTTGGGGGTGTGCGAGAGCTTCCGATGAGTCCGGCTGATTTAGCCTTGAAAGATTTAGAGAAGGGTCGAGAAGCAAGGGAGAAATGGGGGAAATTGTGCGACGAAGTGGTGAAGAAGGTCAATCAAGCAGTGAAAGAGGCAGCTGAGAAAGCTTTGCAAGAGGTAAGGCAGGAAGTGATCAAAGAGGCAGAAGGGAAATTCGACATGGCTCTGCAGAAGATGAGTAACGAGGCAGAGGAGGAGAACTTCGACAAGGTCGCACAGGCACACGCATATGACGAGGTCAAGAAACTGGGAGAGAAGATCGGGCAGTGTGCTGTGAAGAAGCTCAATGACGCAGCAGAGCAAATTGTGAAGCAAATTATACAGCAGGCCCTACACGAAACTTGGGTCCCCCCATATCTGCTTCCACGTGCAGCACAGGAAGACGCGCGGACAATAGTGCGGGAGACAGAACCAAAAATCAAGATGGTAGTCCAGGACACGATCGAAAGCGAAAAGGATAAGGCAACATCAAAACGGATTCAGAGAAAAAATGCACCAGGAGAACGCCACAACCCCTTTGACAAGGGCTTCCCGCACCCACATAAGCCTACCGGAATTCACCCGAGATTTTGACACTGGACATGGATGCCGGTGCACACGCTAGAATAGGTGTTGAGGTTTGTTTGGTTTCTAGTGCTGTTGGACTCAGGGGTGGGCCATCTGACCTATCTAGGTGTCTCTCCAGCGCATGCCAGGCGTTGGAAGCCACATTCAGAAAGCTCATAAGGGATCACACCGATCTGGGCGCTCAAGATTGTATGACGATGATACCAAACTATTAGCAAAGTGAAAAGGTCGAGACACACAGCTGACTGGTTGAAATCAGACCCTATCAGCGAAGTTTTTAGCAACTTTAACAGCCTGTTGAGTTCTGGCACTCAATAATAATATAGCAGTAACCACATCGCGCACACCCCAGACCCCACTCAACAAGTATCTGCAGAGCAAGCAAGCATCAAGGGCAGCGCAGTGCTATTCCTGTGTATACAAACTTATAGCGGTCCTATTAGGACAGATGCTTCAGAGCCTGTTAGCACTGCGACTATGAACAAAACATCCTACCTAGGAATTTAAGCACTTCCAAGACAACGCAGAACATGAACAATTTAGAAGCACAGGAGGGCAACTTCTCCCACATAAGTCACATCCTGAAGAATCTCTGACTGGGAGACCTGTATGCTCCTCTAAACCCTTTTGGTCATGCACTTAATTCCACCATCATACTCTGAATTAGCAGCAGATTGCTTGGCAGGATGGAACAGCTGCTTGGAATACCTCCCAGGCTTAGAGGTGGGAGTATATCATCTGGGACTTCATCAGAGCAGGTGGGGCTTGATCAGCCTACACTACAAGATGGAAGCTCGTTCAGACATCCTTATCATGCTTGCCAGCTCGCTTCATCGCGTTAATATAGGAAGATAAGGCAAGCATGTACAACAAATCTGCTGTGATGTACTTCCAGCACTGTCCTGACGCAACCTTTGGCCTCACAAAGAACAATTCTTGACCCTGACTGCACACCCTGAGGTTGATGTACCTTTTGCCTATCAGTCGGCCATCACTCGGTCTATATTTCACTGACGGATGTAGTTGAATGTGTTCTGCGTGGATTAGAGATAGGTAGCATCACATTTCTTTGTGAAGAGAACCCAGACAGAGTGAGTATTCAGCCTTTAACAAATGCCTTTTTGAATCTTCTGATGCTGGGGGTCATTCTCATAAACGAGTCTACTATCCCTTGTTGAGATGGATGAACGCAATCTGCGCATGGGACATTTCCACTCTGGATACTCTGCCATCGTATCATGAAAATGCTCTCTCAATGCCGCGATAGAATGTTGCAGCTGGCAGCCGTGTCCATCTCTCTTCCCTTAGACATATGCGTATTGCTCATGGTCTAACATGTTTATAGACAATTAATACTTTTATAAATAATTTATAGTAATTCGCATCAAATCAACCTATATCTAATATATTAATTTGATATCTATAGGGCTGAATGAGTGGGGGCTAACAATCACAACAATAATGGGTGTTGACTGTTTAGGGTTGGTTATACTTATATAACCACGCTTCATCAGACCGCTGTCTCAGGAACCAGTAGATATCGAATACTCATAGTATCTATTGGAGGGATACTCATTAATTCGCAGCTTATTTGATTACACAAACTACCTACTCCTGCCCGTCAATTTCGATATATCCGTTGTGACTTCTATCATGGCTTGGATGTACTCTCCCTACCTAATTCTTTAGTCGTCATGCCTACAGCAACATATGCAAAGATGGCGTGATGTGCGCTAGCTATCTCTTGATTGAGTACATCGAGGAAGAGTAACGGAAAATGCTTTCAAACCTGGCCTGTTAAGCAGTTTGATGCTAGGCTAAGAACCAACTTGTTCCGCGACGTCTCGCGGATATTATCACTGAGCGTCACCCGGATCTCCTTACCAAAAATAGGCTCCTTTTATAAAGATCGGAAGTTTGCTCTTATGGCTGACGGTCGCCCACCTTTACTAGTAATTCAGGACCTGAAAACCGAAGAGGTTCGCACAGATATACCGGGCACTACATTTATTCCACGGTTGACTCATGTGTGCCCGATTTCCTTCGCATACATGACATTCGATTGCGATATCAACCAATGCGATCAATGGTACAGAGGACGCTATCTACCAGACCTCTGCCTTGACCGCAATGCGGAGAGAACGGCACTACTAGATTATTAGCTGACTGAAGTTCCATTCCTGTTTAAGACGGTGAGTATCGTAAACAATAGGAGGAATTCCAGGCAAGCTCCCCAGAGAGACAGAGAAAGGAGTGACAAGCTTGAAGCTGAATAGGGTTACTGTCGATCTTGCACGAGATGGTGAATTTCAGAGGGTTTATTCCTCGGCCTCATATGCCTCCTCCTCGGCATACTGTTGCTCCTCTCCGTCGGAGATACTGGCCTCCTGGTATTGTTGATATTCGGACATCAAATCATTCATGTTACTTTCCGCCTCGGTGAATTCCATCTCATCCATTCCCTCGCCGGTATACCAGTGCAAGAAGGCTTTGCGGCGGAACATGGCCGTGAACTGGGTCGCCACGCGCTGGAAGAGCTCCTGGACAGACGTGGAATTGCCCACAAAAGTGGCCGACATTTTCAGGCCCTTTGGAGGCACAGAGCAGAGAGCTGTTTGAACATTATTTGGGATCCATTCCACAAAGTAACCGGAGTTCTTAGTATGGATACTGAGCATTTGATCATCGACTTCTTTCATGGAGATCTTGCCGCGGCTGAGACTGATTAGCTTTTTTTTGGGGGGCGGCGGATTTTGGGTAGGAGAAAAGCGTACAAAAGGGCTGAGCAGGTCAGAAAGCGGCCGTTTTGAAAGTTGCAAGCCGTCATCATATTCTTGGAATCAAACATCTGCTGCGTGAGTTCTGGAACACTCATTGCGCGGAAGGACTGGGCTCCTCGACTGGTCAATGGAGCAAAGCCCACCATGAAGAAATGCAGCCGGGGAAAGGGAACCATATTAACCGCCAGCTTCCGAAGGTCGGAATTCAGCTGTCCTGGGAACCGAAAGCTGGCAGTGATGCCGGACATGACCGTGGAAACGAGATGGTTGAGATCGCCATACGACGGGGAAGACAGCTTCAGCGTCCGTGTACAGATATCATAGAGCGCCTGTGCTTGTTAGCTCGCATCGGCGTGGAATAATCAGGACTGATACCTCATTGTCGATGCAAAACGTCTCATCTGCGTGCTCGACCAACTGGTGGATTGACAGCGTCGCATTGTACGGCTCCACCACGGTATCAGAGACCTTGGGGGATGGCAGGACCGAGAATGTTGCCATCATCCGATCAGGGAATTCCTCCCGGATCTTGGAGATGAGAAGCGTGCCCATGCCAGCTCCCGTTCCGCCGCCCAGAGAATGGGTGATCTGGAATCCTTGCAGATAGTCACAGCTCTCCGCCTCACGGCGAACAACATCAATGACTTGATCCACCAGCTCCGCGCCTTCCGTGTAATGACCCTTTGCCCAGTTGTTGCCCGCGCTGGACTGCCCAAACACAAAGTTATCAGGTCGGAAAAGGGCTCCGTGGGGGCCGGAGCGAATGGCATCCATTGTTCCCGGTTCCAAGTCGACGAGGACCGCTCGAGGGACGTATTTCGAGTTGCCGACCTCGTTGAAATAGACATTCATCCGCTCCAGCTGCTGGTCGGATGAGGCATTGCACCTGTGGTAGTGTCAGATAGATCGTAAGCGACAGTGACCGGATCACTGACATGCCGGACTCATCGAGACCGTGTTCGCCGGAGATGGTTTGCCTGGGCCGTGTCAGAGGTAAGAACGGTAGAATCAGGGAGTAATAGACAGTTATGCTGGAATTACCAAAAGGCAGCACCAACTTGGTTACCCTGCGAAGAAGTATCATTGCTTAGCATTACTTCAATTTCTCATGAGAACGGGAATTGACTCACGCATTGGCCGGTTTGAAGATGAACCTATTTTCAGTATAATCGAAATCAGAGGTCAGCGATCTCGACGACAGGATATTCCGAAGTCAGTGAGCGGACTCACAATTTCACGCATGTTGATGGACAGATACGAGAATTCAGATTCGAGAATGAAGGCGAGTTGGGTATAGGAGACAATTGTAGGATAGGAGAACAAGAGCTGGTGGGAGTTGGGAGGTCAGGCTTCCATAAAAGACCGACTAGTGATTTCCACGCCGCTAGTAAGATACAGATACAGACAGAGCTAAGCTACGCTACGGTATGGTATGGACAGGAATAGGACATCTGATATCATGTCATGCCTGCATTATGGCATCTCTTGACCCAGCCTGCCATTCGTGGAAAATCATCCATTTGCAGACTAGCCAGGATTATCAGCTAGAAGATTGGACAAAGGACCATGACAGCGCACAGTAGCTAACCTGACTCAGTATGGATGTATCTGTGTCCATGTATATTTGTATACATGGGAGCAAGAGAATGCCAATGGTGTAAAGTTTGGCTTGGTGGGGTTTTAGGAATATATCAATGTCATATAATCATATTCATCCACTATCTACATAATTATAATTCTGTACGGATACCAGTCCACTTCGCTGGGTAGTGATGGGTTTATAAGTTCTTTGCTCAGCTGTCTTAGTATTTTGATTTGCGTATTATAGAATTATAATACCGCTAGCTAGGCTAAAACGGTGTCTGGTCGATGTCCTGCGCGGATAGTGAAGGATTACATACGGAGTACCAGATAACTAGCCCGACGTCTGCCGAACCAGGCAACCTGATACTTAGGATAGTCTGTCTAAATAGAAAGATCTGTCACCGTAAGGTCTGTGCTACGCGCCAGCAATCATGGTTCCTGACCGAGCTTCGGCGATTTCGGCGTTTCCCTGATTTAGCAGGGCTGGTCCTCTGACACCGCCCTATATAGCCGCGACGGTACAGTTGCAACTTGCGACACTAGCAGAAGACTTTCATCGCGCATTTCTGCTGCTGCATAAAGATGATGGGCGTCTTGCTTGTGTTCTTCGCCACTGCAGGCCTTGTCTGGTTTCTTGCAACGCCCCTTCGAACATAACTATGGCACATTCCGGGGCCTTGGTGACGCCGCTATACAGGTGAAATGGAAGTCTTTATCTCTTGTTTCAGCTGTCTAATGTTTCTCTAAACATTTTTCAGCTGCTTCATGCTTACAATGGACAGACATGCCAAGTCATTCAGCGCTTACACAAGGAATATGGTCCCGTGGTGCAATTTGGTCCACGAACCGTCATTTTCTCCAACCCCATCCATGATAAAAGTTATATGTGATCGACATAGGAGCTAAAACCTTGCCTAACTCTTCTAAGACCTTGGTGAATTGGCTGCCAGTAGCAGGTCAAGCTTTCTAGAGGCTATCGTCGACTCGTATAGCCCCCCACAATGTTTTGGCGATCTGGCCGGTGATACGGGAAGAGGGGCCAGCCGTCTTATGAGATATCTTCTCTACGCTCCCTAGCGCATCCGTGAGGCGGGCGTCACATCTTAAATACAATCGGAAAACACCGAAAAACCCCTAAGAACGCCGAAAAACGCCAATCACCTCAAACGCAGTGGGCCACCCTCCCCCTAGTCTGACTCTAACCGCAGTCGCAAGCTGTCAACAACTTGCTCTCAAACTTTTACTCTCATTTTTCCAGATCAGTAACACCTGTTCCTTTTTATATCCCCAATCCTTCGCGTCGCGCGCATCCATCACCCCCGCAATGGCTGCGTCTCCTGCTGTTGTGGCCCCCGAGAAGAAGCTTGAAGGCCTCAGCCTCTACTCTCGGTTCGCTTTTGCCGGTGCCGTCTGCTGTTCTGTCACTCATGGTGCCTTCACTCCAGTCGATGTGTAAGCTGCCCATCAGCTTCAGCTCCAGTATCCAATGTTCGCGACTTACTGATACTCCCACAGTGTCAAGACTAGAATCCAGCTCGACCCTGCCACCTACAACCGTGGCATGATTGGCGGTTTCCGTCAAGTCATCCAAAATGAGGGCGCCGGTGCTCTCTTGACCGGCATCGGCCCAACCTTTGCTGGTTACTTCATGCAGGGAGCCTTCAAATTCGGTGGTTATGAGTTTTTCAAGCAGCAATCGATCAACCTTCTGGGTCTTGAAAAGGCCCGTCAGAACCGTACTGCCGTTTACTCTGTCTCGGCTGCCTCCGCTGAGTTCTTCGCCTCTATCGCTCTCTGTCCTCTCGAGGCTACACGTATCCGTCTTGTCTCTCAGTCTGGCTTCGCAAATGGTCTAATCGGTGGTTTCGGCAAGATTCTCAAGAACGAGGGCATTGGTGCCTTCTACCGTGGTTTCGGTCCGATCCTCTTGAAGCAGTACGTTGGTCTCGATGATTAGTTTAGAGACTTAATAATAAGCTGATATGATACAGGGTGCCCTACACAGTGACGAAGTTTGTGGTTTATGAAAAGGTCGCCGAGGCTGTTTTTGCTCGTCTTGACAAGTCCAAGCTGTCCAACGGCGCCCAGACCGGAGTTAACTTGGGGTCCGGCCTCATTGCTGGTTTCGCTGCTGCCATCGTCTCTCAGCCCGCTGATACCATGTTGTCCAAGATCAACAAGACCAAGGGTCTCCCCGGCGAGAGCACCGTTTCCCGTCTCATCAAGATTGCTGGCGAGCTGGGTCTTCGTGGTTCCTTCGCTGGTCTTCCTACTCGTCTGTTCATGATCGGCGGTCTTACTGCTGGGCAATTCGCCATCTACGGTGACATCAAGAAGGCTCTTGGTAAGTCCGCTTACTTTCTTAGTTCCCCCGACCAAGGCTGACTTTGTACCCCTAGGTGCCACCAATGGTGTTGAGATCGCCAAGTAACGACCCATTACGAACATTCATAATTCAAATGGCTTAGAGAGGGATAGACGTGACTAGATCTATGGTTCTATTTGAGACTAAGTTGGAAAGCGTCCCTTTGTTGACTTCGAATTATCCCCTCTACCGGTGTCGTCCTCTGCGAACCTCCTCAGTTTTTAGTACATAGTCACATCAGGCTGGCATAAACAGCCATACGGCGGGCATTTTCGTCTTATTGAGTGATTACAATAGACTGTATATATTTGTCCTCTACATTAATTGAGCTCCTACATTCTCTTGAGGTCTAGAAATCTGTGCAGATGATTACTGGATCACCCTGTCGCAGCACAGAGACAATGTCATATGTAATTATGGGTAGCAATAGGTACATACACAGTAGAAAAGACCGACCTTAAGCGACAAGCAAATCGCTATACTAGCCACAATAAATATCTATGAGGCATTAACATAGCCATGCAGAATGAACTCATCCTGCGTTTACATAAGATGGCCTGAAATCTTGCTTATTAGGTGCAGTCAGCCATGGCCAATAAATCTACCTGCGTTTATATCGGGACATTACAACCTTAGTATCACCTCTATAATATGGACTGTCTCTAAGTTCACCAGTTAGATCGACTGGTCGGCGAACCCCACCGGATGCTTCAGCTATGCCACTTAGTGGACTCATGTGGAGACCTGGTTTGACATACATCAGACAGCTCGTCACCTAGGTCACCGAAAATGGCATATTCTATAAGGAAAGGCCGCATCTTCAGTGGTCACTAAAGCATAACTTTAGATATCATGCTTACTACTATTCCAGATATGCTTTCAAGCTCTATCGGCATCCCTAAATCTTTTATGGCTTTTTCAATGGAGCCAGTTTTCTAAATAATCATAACATTATCTCTTGCGTCTACTAAATCTGTAAATATTTTCCCACACTTGAGGATGGCCATGAAGGCATCTATATGTGAGGCCTGTCCGCGTGGTCATCAAATGGAGTACATTGAATGTTCTTCCATCCCATTCACGTCGAGATAGATCCAAAGAAACCCAAACATACTCAAGCGAATCAAATCTCTCCCTTTCGAGCGAGTTCCCTCATGGCACTAATTGTACCCTCGACAGCCCCCTTGCTCATCATCTTTTCCCTATCCCTCAACGCAGCCAGTTCCTCCTCCGAAGCACCTGGATGTCTCCACTCAAAAACATAGGTCATATACAGCTCCCCCTCTGCACCTTCACTGACAATGTTACTGATGGTACTCCCATCAGGTTGAACAAAATCAACCCGGGAGTCTTTGTGGGCCGTCACCGTCTCCTTGACTTTCCGCTGGTCTTGGCGAAAAACCACTTCGCGGATAGTGACGGGATTTCCAACTTCATCAACAGATTCACTGAGGACTGCCGTTGACTGAATGGCTGCTGGAACGAATGTCTCTGCGGAGCGGATCTTGAGGAGTAAACCATTCCAGATCTGACTGCGGGTGAGGATGGGATCGACACCGGGAGAATTTATGGGAGAAGTGAAAGCTATATTGGTTGTTGGGATGGCCATTTTGAGAGGATGTAATCTTAGTTAATGAGATGGATGAAGCAATTCCGATGAAGCGTAAGGTAGTCAGTCTATATAGATACCCAATACCCCGCTACAATCACCCCAAGAGTGGCTGACAAAGCTGCCGGTGTTTCGGACGGCGAGTGCTGACAAGCTGAGTAAGGTAAGCATACACGGCCCCATCAACTTGAAATGTCGTCAATATTACTGTTGCCCGAGTGGCCAGAATCAAATGATTCTAATTTTGAGCATCCACTGATTTATTAGGGTTTGCCTAGATGGCGTCAAACTCCAATGTCAAACAAAAGCCTTGTTCATATGGGAGACAACTTAAGAAGTACACTTTCAGTTTTCGAGGTCTATTATCTGAATGCGATGTGTTACATTCTATGAACAGGGCTAATTGATAATTATAAACTGCAAATGTATATCTCATAGCTGGACTGGCGAGATTGGCACGAAACAGTGGGGTAAACAAACTGCCCTAATGCTGGTGAACCACAAAATAAGGATGCTACCTAGAGAAAAACATATACTGAACTGCCTAATCAAGTTTGAGGATGTAACTGCAGCATGAAATGTTTCCAATTTCCAGGAGGAAAGTCTTATCTCATCTCCTGACCTGGGGTTGTATGATATACTTCATGCGCAAGTACACCACTCTAGTATTACTACCGGGTACAACATGTCTTCTGACAACGGCTAAATGATCTTCAAAATGCAGATGAGCACGCTCACTTTATAGTAGATGTCGTAGCCAATCCTATCCTCAGATTCAATTACATTAGCTGCCTCCCACTGCCATTGGGAAAGTATAGGCGCATGCTACACCTGGCTGTGATATACCTACTGTGCCTTAAACAGTCCTGTTGCATAAGTATGAATGACGTAGATTTCATCATATCATCAGCAGTACATGATCCTCAATTGGACGCCCCAACAAAGCTATCAATCAATCTTTCCAATTCTTCCGGTGCCTCTGTCGGAGGAAAGTGGCCCGCCCCCTGGAAAACCACCAGTCTGGAATTCGGCAAAGCGTCGATCATAGGCTGCACGCAGTGTTCCACTGGAACAGCCAGGTCTTTCTCCCCATGAACAATAACAGTAGGGACGGTGATCCTCCTGTACCCATCACCAATCTCAAAGGCCAACAGGCAGCTTGCATTGTGGCGGCGACCATACGCCGGCCACTTTGCAGCTTCAACGGCAATCGAACGATCCAGTCCCATGCTAGCGTAAAAGTCGACACATTTTGATGGTACATCGGCCCCTCCGGTGAGCGCCTCATAGGGAAGAAACTGGCCGGCAATCTTGCCATCATAATAAGTTGCAGTGTATATGATTTTGGAGACGTTGGTGGGATTCATCAGATAATAAGCGGAGGCGATATTACCGCCCATGGAATGAGTGACCAGGACAACGGGCTCATTGATCTTTGCAGCCTTTAACACTGCATCAAGGTCTGCAGCTTGCTGAGGAATGCTGTATGCATCTTGCGATTCAGGCTTCGATGACCGTCCATATCCACGAATGTCGTACGCAATGCACCGGTACTTAGTGATCAAGCGGGCAATTAGCGGTTGCCACAAATTGGCAATGCCCATATAGCCGGAGACGAGTACCAGTGTCGGGCCGGTGCCTCCGTGCACTTCATAGTAGATCTCTTGGGAATCGTTGGTTGTAGCGAAGGCCATACTGTTGAGGTGAACAGTTGTGTGGGATATAGAGTGGAGACCTGAATGATCAATTAAGCTGGTTGTTGTATGGTAACCATACAAGAGAGCGCATTTTATATCGCATACCCAGATCAGAGGATTCATGAAGTATTTCTCATCATGACAAATCTGGGACAGGATCACAGAAGGATCTGGAGACACTCCACTAAACCCACCGAACCATGAGATGATACCGGAAAAGGTTACGATGTGGATCCAACGGGTTACTGAGTTAAGCCTAACAAAGTTACCATAACTTGGACACGAGGTGGGAAATGTGGCATATCAATAGGCAATAGGTGCAGAGACTGCATGAAACTCATGAATACATCAGACGTCAGTCAAATGTTTACCTCTCAAGAGGTACGTACTATTATCGTATTGAATACATTATCTTCCATCGTGTTCTGAGCTAAGTTTGTCCTAGGTCCCAACACGAGTATATATATTCTACAGTAGTCTCTGTAGCAGCGGACATTGTATAGCACGAAAGAATATACACAAATCCCCTAGGCATGCATATCCAGATACATGTAACTTTCATAAAGACATCCAGTTCAAGCTTACTTTCTGCTAGGTCTTCTCTTGGCTTAATCCATGGAGCCGGGATCTCCTAGAGAATGACTAAGGAGCCAAGCCATGGATAACTAGTTAGTTATATTTCCCAGGGCGAAGAGGGACTTTTGGTTAGGTAATACGGAGATGCTGCATGCACCAATAGAAGAACGTAACCAATAGAAAGAGGCAAGGAACATCGCCGATTAATGCGAATCGGGGTCCACTGGAGGATCGTTTAAGGGGGAGATCCCGATTCGATCAAGGAAATTCTGGTGTTCCCGGATGGCAAATGTCTCTATGATTTTGCCTATAGATCATCTCTTTTTGCTCATTATGCAGCTATCAGTATTTACTTGGATCCCCTCTGATCCAACCCATGGAAGGTTGCCTTATCCTCTCAGCTGAACATTCCTAGCACCATGATGTTCGTGGACTTTGAGCAAGTCAGAACTTCAATGGACAAGACACTTCCCGTCATCGTCGACCCCAATGAGGATATCAGGAACAAATTTATTCATAGAATCTTCGTGATGATCTTGCTTGGGTGCAGAGAACGAAGGCTCGATCAGACGTAGAAAAGGTTCTGAGACAGAAGAGTCAAGCCCTGGAGGAGATGATGTTGAAATAGTAACGTGAGCTACCAGTTTATATACAGCAATAAGGTCGGTCTCTTGACTTTGGCCTTAAAGCGATCATACTCAGGAGTGGCATTCACATCCCATTAAATCCACAAGGATTATGTCACCGGGTATCGGCACCCAAGTGTCCATTCCATTGCCTGGATTATGTCACTTCTCGTCGCCGAAATAGTGGGTCCCATGCATTCGATATATAGAGAAAGAGAGATAGGAAGACAACAGCCTCGTCAGGTCCAGACATGGACTACTGCGCAAGTCTGCCGATTGACCCGGGATAGGTAGGATATATACTCTGAGTATCTCGCTCTTTTGCAATATTCTCATCATATCATGCAGTCAAGCATCCCTAACATGGCGCCTTCCCCTGCCGAGTCCAAACAAGAGCTCGACCTTCCAGAATGGTCGGTTGACCCAGCAAATGCGAGAAACTGGAGTCTGGGAAAGAAACTATACAACACTGCCGTCCCGTCCTTGCTCTGTCTTCTTGTGTCAGTATCTAGTGTCTTATGACAAAATCTCTCCGCGCTGACAGATATAGATCCTTCGCTCTGGCCATCTACTCGCCATCCCATGCTAAGGTCCAAAAAGAGTTCAACACCAACACCACTTTGTCCCTCCTCCCGTTCACCCTCTACGTCTATGGACTCGCCTTTGGGCCCATGGTCTCCGCCCCTCTGAGCGAGACCTACGGTCGACGATTCATCTATGTCTTCATCACTCCGGTAGCTCTGCTCTTCATCTTGGGCGCCGGTTTTGCCAAGAATCTGGCCACGCTCGCCGTCTGCCGGTTGCTGGCTGGAATTCTCATCTCTGCGCCTCTCGCCGTGGGCGCCGGAACTATCATGGATATCTGGACCGGCGTGTACACGAACCGCGGGGTGATGCTGCTGATGGCGATCGCATTCATGGGACCCGCGCTGGGCTCGCTGGTCGGCGGCTGGATCGCAGAGTACAAGAACTGGCCCTGGTCCCAGTGGACGTCACTGTTCCTCGGGGCTGGTATCTGGTTCTTCTCGCTGGGTGCGCAGGAGACCTATCCGGGCCCCATTATCCGGCGCAGAGCGAAGAAGCTGGGACTGCCTGTGCCACCGGCACCCATCCCCAGTGGTCTTGCGGGACTTCGCTTCCTGGTGATGGTGACACTGGCGCGGCCGGTCTACATGCTGCTGACTGAACCTATTGTTGCGCTCTGCTCGCTCTATGCGTCGCTGAACTTCTCTGTGCTGTTCTGCTTTTTGGCCTCGATTCCGCTAATTTACAGCACCATTTATGACTTCTCACCGGGCCAGTGTGGGCTGGTCTTTATTGGGATCCCGGTTGGCTGCGTGGTTGGCACCATCGCCCTGATTCTCATCGACTCGTACACCTTGACCAAGCATCGTGCCCGAAACTTGGATGTGCCTCCGCCTCCGGAGCGCCTGCTCTGGGGAGCGATGGTGGGCAGTCCCCTGATGCCGGCATCGTTATTCTGGTTTGCCTGGACCGCTCGGCCGGGGGTGCATTGGATGAGCAGCATCACAGCGACGGGATTGTTTGCTTGTTCCAACATTCTCATCTTTGTAGGTTCCCCCCACCGTCGTCTTGTTCAATGCTAACGAGCCAGGTGTCGACGGCGTTGTACCTCACCAACGTCTACGGAGCCAAATACGGGGCCTCAGCGCTGGCAGCCAACGGTCTGCTGCGCTATTCAGTTGGAGGGTCTTTTCCCCTGTTCACGATTGCTAGTATGTGTTCAACTTTATTACTCGAGAGTCTTACTGACCATTGTAGTGTACAATAATCTCGGGTACAGCTGGGCCTCTAGTCTCCTGGCCTTTCTGGCTGTTGCATTCGTGCCCCTGCCATGGATTTTCTACCGGTTTGGAACCAGAATTCGTCAGTCAAGTGCTTATACCTAGATGATACTGTCTTGTATTTCAACTATCGACACTCATGTACTTAGTGTCGGGGTAGCGCCTCGTCTGGCCGGATCTTGCGTGTATAGAGAATTTGCATAGATAGAGCATCAACGGTTGATCAGCCAGTTCATTCCATTTGTGCCTTATTTCTCATCGTGGGAAAGCCTTTATACGATTTCAATCTCAGCTTGCAAAGCAGTGCTCAAACGTACCCATTCATCTACAATTCATGACCATAAATATCCATCCATCTATCAAGCTTCGTCCACATACTCGATCGCTGTCTTCTGCTCCAAGGCAGCCTCATCTGGCACACGGCAGACGTACGACGCAAAGGACCTGGTCGGCAGCCGCTCCTGAAACATCTCATCTATCTCCTCGAGCGAGCGCTGCCGCAGCTCCGGAACAATAAACCACACAAAAGCTGCCGCCAGAACAGAAAACGAGCCATAAATAAAAGCCACTCGGCCCCCAATCGCCTCCTGAGTAAACGGATTGACAAACACTATTACCAGACCAGTCCCGTACCCCGCGAACCCCGTCAGCGCCACCATCTTCTCACGCACCTGTCGCGGCGGCACCTCGGCCGCCAGCACCCACGGCAGCGGGCCCCAGGTGATCTGGAAGCAGAAGAACCACAGCATCAGCATGACGACCATGGCGACCTGCATGGCGTAGGATATGCCCGCGGCGCCGTGTGCAGTCAACCCCCCGATGACAAGCATACAGACGCCCAGCATCCCTGCCGCATACAGCAGCACGCTGCGCCGGCCCAGCCGGTCAGTCGTGAACATGCTAATCAGGTTCGCCGCGATGCCGATGACATAAACGACCACCGACAGCAAGAGCACCTCCTTGAACCCGATCTGCTGCAGGAACACCGCCTGGTAGTTCGACACAAAGGATATGCCCTGCGCCTGCTGGAAGATTTGAGCCCCGAGGCAGATGATCGTCCGACGCCGGTTCACCGGGTCAGTGAAGCAGGCAGCCCACGAGGCGTTGGCAGAAGCACTGCCCTCGCGCTGCTCCTGGAGTTGTTGCTGCAGCAGGGAGACCTCCGCTTCGGCGGGGAAGTCGGGCCCGCGGAGCTTGCGCAGCGTGGCGGCTGCTTCGTCAAGTCGACCGCGGGAGATGAGCCAGTGCGGGGATTCTGGGAGGAAGGGGAGACTGAGCCAGCCGATGGCGGGGATGGCGATCTGCGCGACGACCACGCCGCGCCAGGCCCAGTCGCTGGGGATGTGCTGGCACAGGTAGACGATGAGGGCCGCGGTGAACCCGCCAACCATGAGGAAGGCGTTGTACGTGCCGGCCATGAGGCCGCGGAGGGCCGGCGGAGCGCATTCGCCCTGGTAGGCGGGGATGACATTCGTGGCGATTCCGCCGCCAAAGAAGACGACAGCTTTGCCGACGATGAACTGTGCGTAGCTGGTCTGAGTTGTGGACTCTATTATCACCCCAACAGCCACGATGAAGCTCTGGATCCACAAGGACTTCTTGCGTCCGAGATGTTCGTTCAGCGGCGAGCCACAGAGCAGGCCGAGGATCACCCCAGCGTAGCCCAGTCCTGTGCCGAGGGACTGCTGGCTGGAGGTGAGGGACCACCTCTGCTGCACGGGGTCAAAGGGCCCAAACGTGCGGGCAAATTGCGAGGAACTCATGATGCCGGACCACCAGCCCGAGTCAAAGCCAAATCCGGCAGAGGACAAGGAGCCAAAGATAACGATGACCCAGATGATCCCGGGGATGCCACGGGCGGATCCAGCGGACCCAGAAGTGAATGACATATTGACAAGCAGTGATAATGTGAAGAGGAATGACTGTATAGAGAGAGGAGAACCTGGAGATTCTCGTTGGCAAACTGCCGCCTTTAAGCATGGCCCCAACTTTGTCCATGTTCCTTTGATTCCCGTCTTATCGTGGTATCCACATCTATACTGTGTCCTCTGATCGATTGAATAACTTGGAATCAGACTGTCATCATCGCTCACTTCGCCGGTCCCATTGTCTGACGGTCTGACGGGGACAGCTGACTACCCAGTCATGTCGAGTCATACTGGACACCGAACTTAATCCTTCGTATAGTTGCCCCGGTCTAGAGACCAGTGGCGCCTTGGTCATCTTGGTCCACGGGAAGGATTCATTACCCTGCCAAGAGAGCTTATTAGTATTATTCTTGGTATGAAGCACAAGAAGACTTGCTAGTTGCTACCTACAGCAGTCAACCTCCCCTGTGGTCATGATCTGGATTGACCATAGAAATGAGTATACTTCCCCAGATTGGAAAACGTGGTCATGGCATGCATCCATCCCCGACATATTTCCGCAGAGCCTCTGCACCCACAGCTGCATCCCAGTCTGGGGTCTGTACCGTGGGGAGGGTACCAGTCTGTTCGGATCCGAACTAGTCTCCATTTCTGGATACGTACCGCGTCAAGTGTATACTAGATATTCGGCCAATCATTCTAGATCAAATAGCCAAACTCTGATCAAGCCAGACCCGCCAATTCGGCGGGTGGCGGGACGGTGCCATGAGCCCATGATTATGATTGACGGGATATGCAGTCGGATCAGAACGGCGCCCCACTATATCGCCGACCCTGTACCAAGGCCAACAGGAGGGGGATAAGCACTAGGATTCCCAGGCATTCCGATGAATAATTGAGTTGTCCGAGGATTAGCCGGGTGTACACTTGGATGTGATATGGATTCTACTGTTGTTGGGTATAGATAGTTTAGGAAGGCAAAATACAAATGCCATTCTCAACATAGTTCCTCTTTCATTCTTTTAGAGAAACGTTCGTATATCCTGTCTGCAAATAGACATCTCAACTAACAGATATGACTCGCGATCCAATTACCCCCGTTGTGGATCGGCTTCTCCAATACCTCACTCTAGAGGAGAAAGTCTCCTTGCTGGCCGGTAAGAACATGTGGGAGACGGCCCAGGTCGACCGTCTGGGTATCCCCAGTCTGAAGATGACGGATGGTCCCGCGGGAGCGAGAGGCTCCAAATGGACGTACGGCTCGCTGACAACGTTCGTCCCCTGCGGCATCTCCCTCGCTGCCACCTGGGATCCGGCCCTAGTCGAGAAGGTCGGGACCGTGCTGGGAGAGGAAACCCGGCGCAAGGGCTGCCATGTGCTGCTGGCGCCCACCATGAACCTGACGCGGTCGCCTCTCGGAGGCCGCAACTTTGAAGGTTACGGTGAGGATCCGTATCTCGTGGGCGCCATGTCGACGGCGATGATCCGTGGGATCCAGAGCCAGGGGGTGGGTGCATGCATGAAACACTTCATCGCCAACGACACGGAGACGCGGCGGTTCAACGTCGATCAGACCATCGATGACCGCACCTTGCGCGAGGTCTACATGAAGCCGTTTGTCATGGCGCTGGACGCCTCCCCATGGACGGCCATGGTCAGCTACCCCAAGATCAACGGGCTGCATGCGGATGTGAGCCCTGCGATTCTTCGGCCGCTGTTGCGGGAGGAATTGCAATTCGACCGACTTGTCGTGAGCGATTGGGGTGGATGTAACGACACGGTCCAGAGTCTCACCGCTACCACTGATCTGGAGATGCCGGGGCCAGCTATCCGCCGCGGAGAGCATCTGCTGGCTGCCATTCGTGACGGCCAAGTTGACCCTGCATTGCATGTCGACCCCAGTGTACGGCGGATGCTGCAGCTCCTGGAAAAGGCCGGTCTGCTGTTAGAGGAATCCGATGGGCAAAGGTTGTCCCTCAACCAAGACGAAGCCGCGGAACAGGCCACGGACGATCCTGTTTTTCATCAGATCGCCCGAGAGGCGGCTCAGAGCGGGCTAGTCCTGCTCAAGAATAAAGATAATGTCCTTCCCCTGCAGCCGTCATCCCTCAAAAAGGTCGCCATCCTCGGTCCGAACGCCCGCAAGCCTACGGCCGGCGGGGCCGGCAGTGCGGCCGTCAACCCCTTCTACATCACTACGCCAGAGGAATGCCTGACAAAGGCGATTCAGACAGCGCATCCTGAGACTCAGGTGACGTATGAGCCGGGCATGCCGTTCAGTCTCCGTCCGCCACTCCTGGGTAATCTGCTCACGGTTCCGGATTCCTCCCAGCAGGGTCTGCAGATAACCTTCTTCGCGGGCCATGCATTCGAGGGACCGGCCGTCACTACCAAACAGTGGGCCGACTCACTCATCTATTTGATGAGTGACGGCGATGTGCCCGACTCCCTGAAGGGGCAGCAATACTGTTACCGCGCGACAGGCGTGGTCACCCCGCGCGTGTCCGGCAGGTACACATTCAGCCTGGCCAACACAGGCAAGGCAAAGCTCTTCCTTGACGAGAAACTCCTCATCGACAACATGGAGTGGACGAAGGTGAGCAACGGGTTCCTCGGCTGCTCGAGTGAGGATAAGACGGTGAGCCTTGAGCTGGAGGCTGGTCGGAAGTACGCGCTGCGGGTGGACAACGTGGTCACCTTGCCGGCTGTGGAGGCCTTTGACAACACTCTCTTTCCGAATGTCACCGGTCTCCGGATCGGCCTGGCCCTTGAGGAAGACGAGACGGCAATGATGCAGCGTGCTATTGCAAGTGCACGCGAAGCCGACGTGGCCGTGCTCGTTGTCGGCCACAACAAGGATTCCGAGGGCGAAGGAGGCGACAGGCCTGATATCCAGCTTCCCGGCCGTACAAACGAGCTCGTCGCGGCCGTCTGCGGCGCCAACCCCAACACCATCGTTGTCGTGCAGGCTGCCAGCGCGGTGAGCATGCCATGGGCGGAGCAGGCGCGCGCCATCGTGCTCGCGTGGTACCAGGGCCAGGAGAACGGACACGCCTTGGCGGATGTCCTCCTGGGCGTCTGTAACTTCTCCGGTAAGACTCCCATCACGTTCCCTCGGCGGCTGGAGGATCATGGCTCCAGTGCGTGGTTCCCTGCCGAGGCGGCGCGGGATCGCAGCGTTTTTGGTGAGAAGGTGCTTGTGGGCTATCGGTGGTTCGATGAGCAGGAGATCGTGCCGCTATGGCCGTTTGGCTTTGGGCTGTCCTATACCAGCTTTAGACTGTCTGATGTCCGGCTCAGTGGAACGATGACTACGACTGCGTCCCAGATCGTTGTGCACGCTCGAGTCGCCAATGTTGGAGGTCGGGACGGCCATGAGGTAGTGCAGGTGTATGTTTCTCCGTCAGCGCGCATCCGGGACAAGGGACTGGTGAGCTACCGGAAGACCCTAGCAGGGTTCTGCAAGGTATGGGTGTCAGCAGGAGAGGAGCAAGATGTTGCCATTCCTGTCAAGCGTGAGGAACTGCGCTGGTACGATGAGCAGGAGGGTCAGTGGCAGTTGGACCGGGGACAATATAGATGCTTCGTTGGAACCAGCGTGTCTGATATTGATTATGAGTTGATATTCACTGTTGAACAGACTTGATAGACCATGGATTCATTTCTGTCTTTTTGGCTAGCAAGATGGGCTTTCAAATATGTAAATGTGTACCGTATCTATGATCTTATAGAGATAGTTAACAACCAGTATCACCCTCATCAATCAGTCCTTACTATCACTATCTCCATATCATTATCATTTGTTACACCATGCATATATCTATTCTATTGCTACCGGGGTCATAACTAACTAGTTCGTTAAGGTAGATGATGACTAAGCAGGGGCATTATCTCAATCGCCGAATCCCCGCATGAATTCCGACTTTCTATAGCTTCAACTCTTCACTTCTACAACTACTTCTATCAACCATAATGGGTTCTCACGAATCGTCCAGTCCAGCATCAGCAAATCTTGCCTCTTCAGTTGCCTGTCTCAACTGCCGGGACAGACATCTCAAGTGTGACGGAAACCTGTCAGGATGCGCGAGGTGCGCCTCTTTGAGTCTCCCTTGTCACTTTGTTCCTTCGCGACGAGGCCGCAAGTGTCGTCCTGGTCCTTATCGCACAACGACTCCGCCTTTTTTCCTGCAGGAAGACAGCGTGTCTCTGGCAGCTGAGCAAGCAGCAATCGGAATGGCTCCGTTTTCGCCACTTAATTCGATGACCCAGCAGCGTCAGCAGCAAGAAGCATATCTAGCGTATCCCCCCTCATCCGCCCGTCGAGATCGGAGAATTCATTTGATCTCGCTCTACTATCTGCATTTCCACCAGGCCCATTCCTTCCTGCCTCCAATGGAGGTATTTCTGCAATCAGGCCCCCCAGCGTACCTCCTTGATGTCATCGAGTTCATCAGTCTGCATTACATCTCCCCGTTCGTTCCAGACTGCTGCGGTTCGCTTCAAACATCCGTGCAGGAGGCCGAGTCCAGCGTCGAAAAGGTGCAGGCCTTTCTGTTATTAACCATTGTGCTGCACGGACGACAACAGCCGGATGAAGCCAAGTCCTGCCTGGCGCTGGCCATCCAACTCAGCCTGGAACTGGGCCTTCATCGCCGGGAGATCTCCGACGACATGAGCCTGCAGAATCCAGTTCAAGGGGAGTGTCTGCGACGCACTTGGTGGGAAATCGTAGTTGTGGACGTCTTACTGGCTGCGGTGCAGCTGGATGGCGTCTTGCAGTTCCAAATGACCGAGACCCCCGACGTGCCTCTGCCTTGCGAGCAGGAAGAATACCAGCAGGGCTGTATAGGAGTACAGCTGTATACCATGGCCGACCTGGAGCGTCAGAGCCTTCTTTGCAACAGTCACTTCTCTTCCTTTGCATACCGAGTGGAAGCCGCCCTGCTGCTTCGAAAATGTCTCCTGGCCGGCGAGACCCATATCTCACAGGAAGCATTGGACAGCCTAAGCGCAACCATAACTGGCTGGTTCCATCGGTTGCCCAAATCCAAACGTACCATTCTCCAGCCCATGGGGGAGTTAGACGAGATGATGCTGCAGGCCGCGGCCCTCGTCCACTGCGCCTCTATCTACCTCCATTTCCCCCGGTCCTCCCTCCTAGCCTTTCTCCCCATCAGCGGTCGCGTGTTCTGCTCGCAGCCCCCTGCCTTTTCGTTCACCTCGCTCGATCCGCAGATGCACACGGCCAAGGTAGCGGCCGGGGCAGTGAATATCTCCAAGTTGGCGTCGTTATCGACAGCGGTCGCCAATCACACCCCGTTCTTCACCTGTCTTCTGAATCTAAGCTCAATCCTCCAAGTCGCCTTGCTTGCAGAGGAATGTCTGCCGTTGTCGGAAGTCAACCAACCTTACCTCTCACTGAATATTGGCGTGCTTCTGTCCATGGGCGGCACCTGGCCCATTGCTGGCAGCTCCATGCAACGCATCCGGGAGATCGTCATGGAAATACAGGCTGCAGCTCCGTGCAGTTCCAGGCAACTCTTGGACACATTCCCTCTCACTTCATAGATGCCAACCAAAGTGGGTCGGAAGAAACGGTCAAGGGACACTGGAGCTGTGCTTACTTCATTTATTCTGCTATTAATACAGCGGGGAGTCGACATTACACGGCGTTAGAACCGATACAACCGATAATCGTGTATGTCGTTGAGTAATGACTTCCATGATCTGTATAGTACCTCTTGCTCTCCTCTCGCAATCATATCCAGTCCCGAAAGGAAACGCGGCACGGCTACTACTACGACGCCTCTCGGTTTCGCGGACCCCACGCTCCGAGGCCTCGGCGGCTATTCTAACCTCATTTGACCGGATCGCACACACTATAATCCTACAATACGATTATCACTGCCATTGCAATTTCTCTTTTGGCCCCCAACGAAGTGGCTCCAATCGCCCCGCTGTCATATTCTGCCTACAAAACATATCCTATGAGGCATTCCAATATAATGATGGCTGGTACGTCTGACTCGGGCCGGGTACCTCGGGAACTAGCACATCGAAGGGATGAGATGCCGTGTATAGACTCATGACTCAGGGTAATCGCCGAGGTGCGCTTGGCTTTTGCGAGCTGTTCTTTCACAATTGGAAGTATGAAGTTGATATGTGGTATAGGCATTAGCACAATATGGATTTTGTGTATATAAAGCACTACGCCTACTGCAATATGTCCTGACATCAACTACCAAGCAGCCTGTCGCCAGAATGAAGCTGTTCAGTGACCGTCTCACTATGGCTCTGTGCCTGATGGCTGCCCTCAAGGCAGGCCTCGTCTCGGCTTCCACGAAACAGCAGCCCAACTTCCTCTTCATCATGACAGATGACCAGGATCTCAAGCTGGATTCGCTGTCGTACACTCCGCTGACCATGAAACATATGAGAGACAAGGGGACGACGTTTGTCAACCACTTTGTGACTACTGCTCTCTGCTGCCCGTCGCGGGTGAGTCTTTTGACGGGGCGACAGGCCCATAACACCAACGTCACTGATGTGCATCCACCATGGGGTATCAATCCATCCATTCAACATAGATTCAATAGGGTAGCGCTGATAGCATACAGGAGGATATCCGAAGTTCATTGATCGTGGATTCAATGATGACTTCCTCCCTGTCTGGCTGCAGCAGGCAGGGTACGATACGTACTACACCGGCAAGCTCATGAACGCCCACTCGGTCGACAACTACGACAGTCCGCATGTCTCCGGCTTCACCGCGTCGGATTTTGTCCTGGATCCATACACCTACGACTACATGAACGCGACGTATCAGCGCAACCATGATCCCCCGGTCAGTTATCTCGGCAGACACACGACCGAAGTTCTCCGGGAGAAAGCCATGGGGTTCTTGGAAGACGCGTTAGACGGCAAGAGGCCATTCTTCCTGGCTGTCACACCCATCGCCCCGCACTCCAACATGAACGGGACGTATGGAGGAGGTGCCGGACCCATGTGGATGGATGAGCCCATCCCGGAGGACCGGCACAAACGTCTGTTCCCGGACGCCAAAGTCCCGCGGACTCCCAACTTTAACCCCAAGGAGGTGAGTTAGAATCAATTCCTGACTGACAGGGATACTGACAAGTAAGCCAACCGGCGTGAGCTGGATCCATGATCTCCCCTATCGGAACCAGACCGTCGTCGACTACAACGATCACTACTACCGTCAGCGGCTGCGCGCACTCCAGGGTGTTGACGAGCTGGTAGATCAGCTCATCACCCGGTTAGAGCAAAGCGACAAGCTCGAGAACACATACATCATCTATACATCCGACAACGGCTTCCACGTCGGACAACACCGCCTGCCCCCCGGCAAGACCTGCGGTTTTGACGAGGACATCCGCGTGCCGTTCTTCATTCGTGGCCCTGGTATCCCCGAGGGCGCGGAGCAGGATATCATCACGACGCATATCGATGTTGCGCCCACGTTGTTCACGCTAGCCGGGTTGCCTCTCCGCGATGATTTTGATGGGACACCAATGCGGATTGCTGATTCGAGGGGGAAGCTCCATGAGCATGTAGCGGTTGAGTACTGGGGGCAGGCTATGTTAGAAGGTGGCATTTCTAACCTTGGTATGTGCTCATTCTCAATGTTAGTACGGGGTCTGATTTCTTAGGAATCCCGACGGTCCCGAACAACACCTATAAGGCGGTGCGAATCCTCAGTGATAAGTACGACCTCTACTACTCGGTCTGGTGCAACAACGAGCATGAGCTCTATGACCTCACCGTGTGTCTTCCATTCCATGTTATCGTTGAAGAAGGCTAATAAACGCAGACCGACCCGTACCAAATCAACAATCTCCACCCCAACGCACGGAAGGGCCAGGCAGACAAGCATCACATCATGGGCTTTGATATCACCCAGGTGATCTCCAGACTCGACGCCCTTCTTCTAGTCCTCAAGTCGTGTCAGGGAAAGACCTGCGTCAAGCCATGGGACGTGCTTCATCCGGATGGATCAGTACACAATCTACTGGATGCTCTGGATCACAAGTATGACGCTTTCTACCGTGACCAGTTCAAAGTCTCCTTTGATCGATGTGAATATGGTTATGTTATTGATGCTGAGGGGCCGCAGACTGCGCTGGCGTACAGGAATGGGTATGCCTTGGAGGCGTGGGTCTAGTTGGCCAGATATTTAATAATTAGACAGGGAGACGGTGGTTCTGTGGGGCTTGGATTTGTTCCTAAGCGGGTTTCCCTGAGATAGACTGAAATAGACACGATGACTTCATTGGCTCTATCATAGGATCAGCTCAGACTCTCGTATTTTAAGTTAGCATGTACAGCCCATCCACCAACAAGGACTAGCTAGTGCCTCGTATTTTGCGTTGGTTCGTGGATTTTGCTTGGCGCATTACGATCGACACTCTTTTTTATTAATTAGTGCAGTTAAAACTTACATTTTACCTTCCCCTCACTTGTCTGTCTGGCGTTTGCTACGGCTGACAACACAGTGATAATGGGAAAAATCACCTTCTACTGCAACATCTGCGGTGGCCCACTGTCGTACTATGATCTCCGCAAGGCTTCCACGGCCTGGGAAGGCGAAGACCTCAGCCTCTGCTACGAGGATGACTGTGACTGCGAGGCTGGGACCAGACCAGAAGCTGAAGGCGATGAGGATGGAGAAGATGACGAGAACTCCACCGCGGCGTGTGAACATGATAGTTATTGCGCATCCCTCAGGGGATACAGCGGGCACTTGATATCTGAGAAGGATATCTTGGTATGTTAACGATCCACATAAGAATATCGTCCTGACTTTGCTAGTGGCTGGAGAAAGTGAGAATGCTGCGTCCTAGGGATTCCCGGAGTGACAAGCATGATGAAATGCAGGATGATGATGATGCGTACTATATCACTGAAATTGTAAGTCATTAAAGTTCAGCTGTAGAGGGGTCCACGTCATGTCAGTGCCTATGACTGATGAACCCAAGGGCAGCTATGATCCGTGGTATGGACTCGCAGTTCCTGGCGAGAACACAGGAAGTAGCGATGGAAGGCTATGGGCGAATATCGATGGTTTCTTTTTGCATGATACCTGCTGGCAGATACTTCAACTTGTACATCAAACTGTGGGTTCAAGTTCGCGACCATTAGAGCCGCGCCGGGTGTATCTCGCTATGCAGGCTCGACTAGGGGATGACATGGAGACATCCATCGACTGGGAGGACAGTAGAGTCTATGGTGGTACGGAAGACTTTCAATCGCAAGAGTGGGAAGCAGAGCCAGGGTATGAGGTAAGTCGACCTAAAATATGTTGTTTAAACGCGAACTCCCTTGTATCAGAGTATTGGCTGACGCGTTTCAGTGGTTAGTTGCGGACCCATTGAAGCCAGTCGACATCGCTGAGCTCGTCTCTGCCTCAAAGAGTTCAAACCGAGGCTCGACGAATGCAATTGTAAACAGGGGCGCCCTAGAATTATCGGGTGTAGATCCATTTTCAAGTCTACCATGGGACATCCGCTATAGGATTCTGCAAATGCTCCCTTCGCCGTCCGTCATCAATCTGGTCATTGCCAGTACCGCATTTCGTGGAGCTACCCGAGACCTGCCTGATCACTTTTGGAGATTACGTCTGGGCTATGATTGTCCATGGATTGACCAAGACTCAATTCGGCAGAACATTGCTCAAACAGGCGGACAGGTTAATTACAAGGATCTCATTCGTCTCGTCAAGGAAGCTGCAGCAAAGCCAGAAGACGGAATAAACGAAGACCAGGATAGCTGGTTGAACCTCAGAAATCGCCATCGGATCTGGACCTGCTGCGAGGTTATCCTCGGGAAGTTGGAAGCAAAATCGTGGGTCCCCTTTCAATCAAAGTGCGAGTCTGGCGAGATCTGACTAACCTCAACCAGGGAATCCCTTAACAGACTCTGAAGCTCATTATCTTCATTTGGATTGTCGGAATAGCATGGCATAGAAGAGAGCACATGTACCAGACCCGAATTGAGGAACAAGTCCTAGTAGCTATTTGCCCAGGGCGATAATGAGAAATCAGATTAATGGGTAATTTCCTTTATAGGAGAATGCCTGATTAATGAGGAGATAAGCATAACGGATGAGCGAGCCGCTGCTGGTGAGGTTGAGTCATTATTAGTTTGGATGGAACGAAGGGCGGAAGTATGTATGCCACTCGACTCTACTATACTGAGCCACCAAGCTTTGCCAGATTTAGCAAGATGCCTAGGCAATTGCATACCATGGACTAATGCATTAATCACTTGGCAGCTGAAAATCCAAAAGATTAGGTTGTTGGCTGAGAACAACAAAGCTCGGGCACACTCTCTGGCCTTAAAGAAATGCCACGCTGAATACTAAGTGTAGGTACTTAGACAGTCAACCCCTCCTTTATTTAACCATCCTCTTCCTTTGTTTCCTTTTATTTTCAGATCACTTCACCATATTTACCAGAAGCATTATAACAAAAGAGTTCACTACTCCTACCCCTACTTTTACTTCCCTCATGCCCCGTCTCAGCCTACCAAATGAACTGCTCGAAACTATAGCAGATAATCTTCAGTTTGAATGCGACCTCAATGCACTTGCAAAGTCTAATCGATCACTATACAATCTACTGAACCCATATCTCTACCGCTACAATGTGCAGCAGAGGGGAAGCTCAGCCGTATCCTGGGCTGCAGAACGTGGCCCGCCGGAACCACTACAAAAACTCATTCATGAAGGGGCGAACCTGAATATAAGGGTCGACAACCATGCCCTCGCCTAGCCGCTCCTTACGGCAGCCATGGAGAGACACGTAGGTGTAGTCAAGGTACTGCTCGATCACTGTACCTCCGGATCAAATACACAACCCGCGGATAATGAGGTCGAAACTGGCCATGACCAAACCCGCCTACCAACAATGGGATGGGCAGCGTGCGGAGGACATAAAGACATGTTCGAATTGTTACTCGCAAGGGGGGCAAACCCAACGTGTGTCCATTCGAACGTTGGCAGTAGAAGGGGTAAATCCAGACTTGTCAGGCCCCTGATTCCAGAGGATTGCGAAGTAGATGCTCGAGATAGTAATGGAGCAACGGCGTTAGCACGTGCAGCACGCTATGGAGATGTGGAAGCGGCTCAAGCGTTGATTAACCACGGACCTGATCCCGAGGCTCGAGATCAACGGGGTGAAACGCCGCTCTTCTGCACAGCCGAAGGAGGCCATCAAATATAGTCGAGTTCTTGCTCGGGAACGGAGTGGATCCAAATCCAAGAAATGACGATGGTCAAAGCCCGTTATCTGCGGCTGCAGCACAGGATCGACCAGCATGTGTTGCGCTGCTTCTGGAGCATATTGATATATAAAATGAGTGCAGCAGGTAGTCCGAAATCATATACCGTACCACGTCAGCAGCAGCATTTGGCCACGAGTCGGTGGTCAAGCAGCTGCTTAAAAAGGGTGTCGACACTGATTCTAGAGGTGCTACGCGGAGGGAATGATTTGTTGGAGGACGCACTGCCCTATCATGGGGGGCAGCAGAGAAGGGCTATTATGGGAATGTTCACATCTTGCTAGACTATGGAGCTGTCGACCTTTGCCCCGAAGACGATGACGACTTACCCCCGCATATATTGGCAGTAGGCAATGGTAACAAAGAAATAGTTGCGCTGCTACTTGATAGGGGAGTTAACGTCAATAGGACTCACAGTTCAATTGGACACACAGCGCTGTCTAAAGCTGCCGACGAATATGCAGACAGTGTTGTTCAGCTACTGCTGGAGAGAAGAGCAGATCCAAATCATCAGATATACGACGGACGGACCCCTCTAGCCTTGGCAGTAATAGGTGGTAATGTATCATTAGTTAAAATGCTGCTTGATGCGGGTGCAGACCCTGGCTCCGAGATCAACTGGAGGCATATGGAGAAGGTGAAACCTGGATGCCTCTACAATTTGCTGCAATATCTTCCAGAAACGAAGCTGGGGCAATAGTCAAGTTGTTATTTGAGTACAGTGCAAAATGCTGAGACATTGACAACATTTCCAGCCATGAAGTGCTGTTTGCAGTTGCAAAAAATGCGAGGGCCGGAGATGTCAAGGCCTTCTTGGAACAAGGCTTTTGTTCTGGGACCGGGGGCGATGCACACAATTGCCACCGTTTATTGTTATGTGCACTGGAATCCACTGGCCCCAGAGAAATAATATGCCTACGCCTGGAAGAGCACGGCTTGATGTACATTTTCAAGATGATGAGGGTCGAACGGCATTATGTTGGGCAGCCATGGTGGGCAACGAATTCGAAGTCAGGTTGCTTCTTACGGAAGGTGCAGATCCCCTTCACAAGGATAAGGAGGGTCACAATGCACTATTCTATGCTATTCGTTCAGCCAACAAACAAGCAACAAAACTTCTTGTTGAATACGTTAATGAGCAGCTTGGTGGGCAGCTGAACCTGCTTCTGCATAAGCTGTAGAAGGGCGCCAGGATACTTCTTTCATTGGAGTACGGAGCCACCTCCGAAGAACAACCGCACCAAGCACTACAAGTGTACCAAGGTGATCTGGCCATTTGCAAATGTTCCCACCATTGAGGCTGGTCGACGTTGTGCCGTCCAGGATAAGCAAGACTGTTGGACTAGCTGAAAAGACGCCATGCGAAATGCTGTGCTTGCGAGAAAGACGGGCTATTTGACATTGGAGGACTGCATGGACGTCGCCATGGGGGTGGTCGACCTTGAATCAGGCAAGGATCGGGGTGTATCCAAGTAGTGGGTCTTAGTGTTTCATTGCGTCCTTAGTATCTCATCTTGTTCGTACTTCCTATACTACAATTGAACTCATGTCTGACGGTCTGATACATTTTTTGGGAGTCATTCTCACCAAACTTTACACCGGGAGGCTTCAATGAAAACTCACTGGAATTCTAAGCTTAACAATGGAATTTTCATCTCGGCCTAAGGGAGTTGTAGCATATAGTATGTACGGAGAGCAGTGCCTAGGCAGCCAGGCAAAGTTCAAGCTTCCTTTTCTATCGACGCCAAGCCTGCTGAAGATCCTGAGAAGCCTCTAAACTGAACGATGAGAACATCAAATGATAACTGTGGCGCAATCAGCTTAGGGGCTTAGAAGACCCAGTATGTACGGTCGAAGCGATATGAGTCGGTGGTCCCGAGCATTTTCCCTATATATACTAGGCGGATGTGGGCCGAAGAGGCCGAAAGGTTCTCCCGTAGCATTAGCCCCGAGTGCATCGATGTCAATCAGGGGTAAATCCAGATTGGAAGCTCACAGATATCTTGGTCGACCCGCAGGTCGTCTCTGTCAGACCATACACATTAAAGAGACAAAGGCTGTCTGCCCTGTCCAAGTTCCTAAATCTTCTAAGTAATGGTACTGCGACGGCCTCTCCTGCCACCAAGGCTAGTCGCCAAGGCAATTATTGGATGATATCCACATGCGCATCATGAAGCCAGGCCTTATACTCTGTCAGAGTGGCATACGTAGTAGTCACGGCCTCATCACGGATAAGCTCGGCCATCGCTCGCCCATCAGCTCTCAAGGTATGGGAAGCCACATGCAGGCGCGCGCCAAAGTGAGTGCCAGGAACAACTGTGTGATGAAGAGCTCAAAGCTCCAGGCACTGCTGCGGCACAACATCCTTCTGCTTAAGTCCATACACGGCATCGCAGTGCTCAAACTCGTGTCACTTCAATGGAGGGGAAGGGGCTCTGGGATTGTGGCAAACTCGCGGTGCCTGAATATCATTGCGTTTGTCCATTTGACTGAAGTGTGCTCTTCATGCAACTGATCGGAGTAGCTGAGATATTGCAGGGGACTGGCGAAATTTTCATATTAGTTTCTGTAGATGCGACTCATGCGAGCAGAGCCAGACATGGAGCTGTTGGTGCTGGCTTCATCGAAGAGGATGTGAAGCGTAGCCAGGGCAAAGTAGTGTTAGTTGGAGAGTAGGATAAGAGTCACTCTTGCTGCGTGCCATGATTGTAATGTGATGCTCCAGCTCCAAAGTCAGCTCCGTAAGTACAACTTAGGTATGGAACCCATTATCCGTGAAGAAGTAAGTTCTCAAACCCTTAGTGCTCTCCCGAGAGGCGCGCACCACCCTATGGAGATCCAGTACTCTTATCTCGCCACGAAGATAAACCGTGCCTCTGTTATTAGAGTTATTTTATCTTCCGGCAGCTTGTGTACAGACATAAACATAAACTGTGTATAGGATAGCGGCCTGAACCTCTCTTATCTCTAACTCTTTCTCCGGAAGCAGAGCCATGATTTCTGTCTCACCGGTCTCAGATGTGGCGGTGCTATGGCTATCAGATGTGCTTTGGGACGATGATGCGGGTGTTCTGGGTTGGGTTTTGCCTAGGTCTACCCAGGAATTACATTATACTCTGAATTGGTGCCTCATGATCGGAGCCAATTAGGCATGCTAATGAGGTCATGATTTTTTAATTATAATATAAAATCAACGAAAATACAAATATTTAAGAAAAAAAAAAAAAAAAAAAAAAAAAAACCCTAAGAGTCCTGCTATTAGTAGAGCAAAAAATAATAATATATATTACTGGGGTGGTTGTGGACACATACCATGGTTGTCCCTATCGCTGTATGACAGGCGCTGTATGACAGGTGGTGATCACCCCGCAATTCTATGATGCTTAGTTTAGACACCCAACAACTGTTTGCAGTATGTCGCCTCTTCTTCCGAGTGTTCCGCGAGAACGTATTGAAAGTTTATATTGGATTAGGTGTAGTTAACCATTGAACTGAGCAAGCTTAACCTCTGAGACAAACTATCTCACTATCTCTTTTGGTTTCTGGTGGAACCCCAATATTTTCTACTCAATCCTCTGCAATGGAGTTGCGTTTTCATCAACAAAA